AGGAGAAACAGATCCCAGATGGCCATACAGTCTTACAGGAGAGTTGGTGAAAGTTCAGGTGCCCTGCTCCCCTTCCCACCTCCCAAATCAGAATTCCCAGAGTGGTTAAGCTCACCTACACTGACACCCATGGAGAAGGCCTACTGGGCTGGAAATCCAGAGCAGGCTCGGGGGGGGGGGGGGGGCTGGGCTCTGCTGCACCTACAGATTGGACCGCTCTGGTGCTAACTGTGCACAGGAAAAGATGAAGCTGACTTAGGCGACTGCTAAGTCCTTCTAGCTCCAACTGCCTGTTCTACTAAATCATTCACATATGCAGAATTCACCTGAAAATGATCAGAAAGTACAGTTTGCTCAGGCACATTCAAGAATAGTGACTGTTAAGTAAAAGCACCACCATGGTTCTCAGGTCCTCTTCCATGTTTAAAATAAAAGGAAATATAGAATTCTAGTCAAACAGAAATCCAACTATATGAGAGGTAAAATACAAATACATTGTCCTTAAGAAGGCTGTCAGAAAATTAGCCTAGCATATGCACTGATCTTGAGGTCTTCTGTTTGGAGTTAACCACTTGCCACTTACATTTAGGTATGCCAGCCCTGGCTGGGGGGATGAGGGAGGGTGGGATTGTCACATTAAGATCCCATCTCCTTTATCAGAGTCTTAAATCTACTCCCCTCATTACATCGTTTTCTGATTTGACAAGTAGGTGAACAGGAGACACATGTCTGAGGTGGAACAGCAGACTTTACTAGCTTGGTTGCTGATCCACTGCTGGCTCATTGATTTCAAGCTCTGTGTGGTTTGTGGACTTCGCATTGCCCAGCACCGGGCCCTACACAGCTCTCTGATCTTCAGGCATCTTCTGGGGTTAGTCCTTGCTTCCCTGAGTGTTCCTTGGTTCTTCACATCCTGGTTTTCTGCCCCCACATCTCTCCCCTCCCGAGGTCCTGCACCATCACCCACACCTCAAAGGACAAGGCATCATGATATATAGCAGGGGCCTGGGCATTCTGCATTCTCCAATGGCGTTTCTTCGTGGCAGTCCTGAGATAGCTGGTTTTCACTTACTGAGTTGGGAGAAACTGTGAAACTGTTTCCATCCCTCCCAGTTCGCCCTGCCGCCTTGACTTCCCGCAGGCTGTCAGGAGTGTGAACGTGCAGAAAGCACAAGTTGCTGTGGGAGGCGGGCAGTAGGCAGACCAGTCCCACGTGCGACTGCTCTGTCTGAGTGAAAGCTTAAGGCTGACAGCCAAATCTAAGAGGCAAAGACCCCAAACCCAGAGGTTTTGAAAGCGAGGGTGCTGCTTGTTCATCCATGAAGGCAGAATCAGTCCTAGAGCTCAGAGCTCGGGGCCCCCATGGGTCACCTGCTTCAAACCCTTAACTCCTCAGAACTTGGGGGCTTGAAGAAAATGGAAGTTCTAGTCACTATACCTGGGCTAGGGAAGTACTAATGGCATTTCCCAGGATGCTTCTCTTCACTGAACACAGAATATTCTGAGAATCTAGCTAGCTTCTGTGCTTTCTGCCAATGGCAAGAGGAAACCCTACCTTACCCTACAGCTGACCAGGAAGGAAGAATCAAGGCAGTGGGGTGTCATGGTGCTCAGGAGCAATGCAGATCAGGAAGCTAGCCCTTTCTATGCCCTCTCTCCCTTTTAAAAAAGCAGAACTTGGGCATACCCGGTCCCCTTCCCATGTAAAAAGGTTTACAGTTAAACTGAGTGGGAACTAGGTTTTTAAAGGTAAGAAGAAGTAATTCAATCTTAGGGCATTTAGAAAATTATGACTCTAAGCAGATTAAGAGAAAGAAAAAGAACAAAGAATTCTGTGTCAGTCCATGTTCTATATTTATTGAATTATTTATTTAGATGGAATCTCACTCTAGATCACACTGTAGGCAAGACTGACCTAAAACTTGCAATTCTCTTTAAACGGCCTCCAGAGTGTGCACCCACACCAGGCATCTCCTTCATCTAAAAAGACTATCTCTCAGAGCCTGGGAGGTAGTTTAATAGTAGAGTTCTTTTCTAGCATGTATAGGACCCTTAGATCTTTGGTTTGATTCCCAGCACCAAAAACAAACAAACAAAAAAGGAGGGGGTGGGGGAAGGAGGAGTGCTGTATCTCACATACCCCGGCGTTAGTCTTATAATTAATAATGAAAACATTCAATCTCTTTACCCTTATGAAGAACACATACGTTAATATACTGACAGCAACAGTCTAGATGTTTCAGGACAACTCATGAGTGGTTATTTAGGAATAGCTGAGATTGATGTGAAGAAGTGAAGAAGAATGGAAAGGAAGAATATCCGGAAATCTTCCTACCAGTAAAATCTATTAGGTCTCCAGAACAATGCCCCAGGGATCCTGTGAAAGCCAATCATACGAGTAGAGAGGGTTTGCACTGGAGTTATTCCATGGGGAAATTTTACTTCAGAAATGGGCTGTATGATCTAATGGCTTGCATGTTCACATGCCTAGTCTGTTCTTGGGATCTAACAGGAAGTATAAGGGAGTAGGTCCATCAAAACTGCCACCCTAGTCAGAGAGGACCACAGCACTGCCAAACAGCAGGACAGAGTTGGAGTCATGAGGTTAACTTCCCAAGGAGCAGGAGGTGTAGGCGTCTGAAGAAAAGCAACCATTCATAAGCAGTAGTATAATCTCTCTCTGGCTAAGAAACTTGGTGGGATCCTGGGATTCCTTTGACTGTGGGCTCTGTCATCTCTGCCTCCACTGATGATATTCAGTCTCTGTTATGACTTGACTACACCTTCCATGTTCTTTGCCCTCACTTTGTCATTATTGCCTTCATTTTCTCTCCCAGCAGTATTTCTGTGTTAGTGGATGATGAATGGTCCTTCTAACACCCACTCAAAACAAAGCCCCATTTAACCTATTTTGAATTTGTTTTTATTTTTATGGCAGGTATATCTTGGTCTAGTTGTTAAATTTACCATTATGATTTCCCTGGGTTTCAATGCTCTCAACTGTAAAATGGTGAAAATAAAACCATTTCTATTTACATCTCAGGCTGTCAGAAAAAACAAGCAAGAGAATGGATATGAAATGACCTTGAAATCTCAAGTGGTGTAGAGACATAGGGTGGCATTATTTCCTGGTTCTTGTCCATTTCAGTGTTGCCCATCTTAGGAAAAAGGTTTTGTAGGCTCTTACCTTTTTAATACTCCTTGTATTATACAATGCATGGTGCATAAGAGTTATGGACATAATAGGTACTTCAAACACATATGTATAAATGACACTAAATTACATGGTAGATGTGGGAGTGAGGGGAGGGAGGGGGTGTCTTGGAGTCACTAGTAATAATTTAATATTTTTGGCTGATGTGCATAGTTTCAACATGAAATGATACAATGGAGGAGAGAAAGGGAAATACAATTTAATTAAATAATAAATAATCACAACATTACCCCAATTCACAGATGAGAAAAATCAAGGCTCAAAGTCTAGAGCTAGTAAACAAACTCAGGTCTGTCAGGTCTACCCTCCTTGTACATACCCCTATGTTCTGTCTGATATTGTGCCACGCCAATTTTGTTTTATCCTCTCTTTCTCTATGATCTCATGAAGCTGTGTGGATGATTCAACATAACCTGGTGGGCAGGATGGAGCTCATAGTCCTGATGCCCTGGTCCACAGCCAGTGTGTTATAAATAACACTGTGGAAATAGGCACACATGTCAGATTCTAGCCTTGAAACCTGTACTTTGTCACTGCTATTCTTCTACTGACTACTCAGTCTCACCTTAATAAAGCACTATTATCAAGTTAGAAAAATCCATGAGTCAACTGCCAAGTCCCAAGAGCATCAGGTAGTATTAATATGGAAGGCTGGGGCTTGTAAGGAGCATATAAGAAGCTGTTTTTGACAAATAAAATGTACTAACTCTTCACAATGGCCATATCACCTCTAGCAAAGATACTGAAAGCAAATGATCCTTGGCATGTACCAAGAGTTCTACAAGTGCTGCTATAAGGATGGAGCAGACAAAAGCAAGCCAGTAGCTGCTGAAGGCAACAGAGGCTTTTAACCTTGATATTTGTAGTGTTGCTGGTAGTCTTGAGCTATTCAGACAATAGCAACCCTCCCATCAGTTATTAAGAATGTGTTAGAAATTTACACTAAATAGTATTATTACAGCTGCAGCAAACTGGACTGCAGAAAGGCATGCTGTGTAACTCAAACACTAGATTTAGTTGGGTTAGAAGATCAACTCTAGGGAATTTGTCAGCAGAAAGAACCTAGGTTTCCAACAAGTTCTGTCTCTCAGAACCACCTACGTCCAACTGCGAACGTGGTTAAGTGATAGGCAATTATGTGACCTGTCAGAATTGTTGGTTTGCTTTAGGGTTGTCATTAGCTTTCTGATGTACATAAATTAAAGAAAATACATATCCGGTGCACATCATATTATTCTGATATGAATAAAAGGCTAAGAAAAACCTATTAAAAAAAAGGAAAAGCCTTTCCTAAGTTCTATCTCCAGTTTCCTTCTCTTGCCCAAATGAATGAACTCTACCAACTGGTAAAAGGAGTGACATGGTGACTGACTAATGTTTCTTTCGTTGGTTTTTGACAGCAGGCTCTCTGTAAACCACTCTGCTGTTTATGGGCCAGAGGCTGCTGGCCACTTCATTTACAGTGTTCTTCTGTTGGTTATGAATAGTGACCTAGGAATCCAAGGCCATGGCTGTGGATTATTAGAAAATAATGAGAAATGTAAAATTTTAATAGAACAGTTATTTCCGCCCCCTGCAAGCATGTTTAACACCCAAGCCAGCCTCTTCCTACAACCAAGTGGTTATAGGAAGTTATGAACTACCAACTCTATAGAAATTCAAAATGAGAAAGACTTGTTGCGTTTCTAAAGCTTTCCACACACATGCAATTCTTACCTGTGCCCCATGGTGCTGGGCTTTCTATCTTACTCTCCTGGTACCCCAGCTAGGCTGTTCACACACCCACCTGTTTGGCATGGTTGACACACAGCATGTATTGGCTGGCCAGAGCGGAGCAGCTGAGGGTCTGCTGGGTGTTTTGGCGGAAACACTGGAGGATTTTTGCCTGCAGATCAGCACAGACTGGATGATACTCATACCGCCTGAAAACCAAAACAGGGGCCCTTGAGATATCCATTCATTCAGAATAAAGGCCAAGGTTAAAGAACATATAAAACATCAAATAAGATAGAAATGGTACAGTAGTAGAAAAGGCGCAATACTGTATTTCCCTTCATTTGACACTACTACAAGTGACACTATCATCTTCCCTCCTAAAGCCAAAGTCAAAGCCAAACCCTATGTATGGTGCCAGGTCTCTATACTCATATTCTCTGAGCCAGAAATCTTGTGGCCCTCACTTTGCTTTCCCTGCCCACATTCAGCAAGTCATAGATCTGGAGATCTAATTTTGTGGTGTGGTCCTTCTTAATACTGTCATTACAAAAATTCCAAGTGATTTACCTCCTAGATTCAGTGACCTACTGTGTCTCTATCCGTCACCCTCTACATACTTGCCTTTGCCTTTGCCTGCCCCTCTCCCACTGTCTCTTCCTCCCCCCCCTCTCATTTTCCCCCTGTAGTACTGGCTTTGAACTCATAGACTTGTACTTGCTAGAAAGGGGCTCTACCACTTGAGCCACACCCCTAGACCCATGAAGATTTTTCTAATCTGCAGATCTGAATCATGACCTCTCCCTACCGCTTCCTGGATAAAACATGAGGCCGATAAACCAGCCAGCTTTAATCAGGTTCCCACCTCAACTTTAGCCTCTGCTGCAGCCTGGACAAACCATGTTCCCAGTTTGGTTCATGCAATTTTCCTCACATCTGTGCTCACATTGCTCACAATTTTTTTTTTTTTTTGTGAGGGGTGGGACCTGAACTTTGGGCCTGAGCGCTGTGACACCTCAGCTCTTGAGCTTAAGGCTAGCGCTCTACCTACTGCTTGAGCCATAGCCCCACTTCTGGCCTATTCTGCTTATGTGGTGCCTAGGAACAGAACCCAGGGCCTCCTTCATGCATGCAAGGCAAGCACTCTACCACTGAGCCACCTTCCCAGCCCCACATTGCTCATAATTTTGAAAATGTTCTGTGCCCAAACTGCTACCCACACCTATGGAACAGGAAAATGCTCATCTTCCATCTCATCTTTCAGTGTTCAACTCATGTGTAAACTCTCCAGCTTTTGCTAGCTACCAGCCCCACCAACCCCCACCTCCACACCTCTTCCCCCTGCCCTGTCTCTCGCTCACCTCATCAGTGACACAGACTACAGACTAGTCTAATGGGGTGTATGAATCTAAATTTCCTAGAATGCAAATGATATATTTTCATTGAGATGCTGGCTGTTAGATATGGATACCTCTTACAGAAGTCACACAGTTAAGTTTGTTGAATGAATACAAATGGGTAGAAGGAAAACATTTGGAAGTATCCTGGATTAAGGCCTTGCAACTCTATTTACACATCTTAGATTTTTAGTTGCTCTCAGTGCCTCCACTGTACCAAATAAAAAATACAAATGTTTCTAAAAGCTGACATACACACTTCAAAGATAACAACAAAATAAACCAAATGAATTATATGAACAAAAATAAAATATTCTTTTTAATACGGTAGGGGAATTTGGATTATAAGGGCTAGACACACATAGAGAAAACCCATAAAACAATTGCTTTTCAAATTAGTTTAACAGAAAATGCTTCCAGTCTTCCTTATCAGTTCTGTCTCAGAAATTTAAATTTGTTATTTCCATATAATCTTGAAACTGCATTATTTTAAATTTAATAGGTTCTTAAAAAAAACAAACCCTAGAGAACACAGGGGGAATATTTGCTATCAATAAAGAACCCCCTGGGTGACGATTTGTCTCCTCATTACTTTTATCCAACACGCTAAGCTAATATATATCTTACTGGAATAGAAATGCAAACCATGTTACTAGTCCCTGAGGGAATTTACTTCCCTCTACCCTTCAAAGAAAGTAGACACAGGGAAAAAATAATCTCACAAATTTCAAATATCATTGAGTTTCCTTTTCCATTCATTATCTTACTGCTTTGTCAAATATCTAAGAACAGAATTTAAATTTAATCCCGAGAGTTTCAATTTTTTTTCTTTTTTAAGATTGCAAAGTTCAGATGTCTGTGAATTTTTCTGGATCCAGACTTCTCTACTCCCCTACCATGAACACCAGTATTTTAAAAGGAGTCAGCCATGATTCCATGAGCACAGGCTCAGATACTGCTGACTGACTGATAACAGGAGGACTCACATCTGGATAAATACCAAAGAAAATATGAATAAGCATCAGGTCAGTGGTAAGCAGAACTACATTCTATCTCTGTGCTGAAAGGAATTGCTTCTCCAAAAGCAGAGGGAAAGTGGTGAGGAGGGAAGACCAGAAGAACATTGACCAGATAGATACCTATCTCCTCCCAAGTAACACACACACACACACACACACACACAAGGGATCACACACACACTGCACACCAGAAGGTGGTGACCATGCATATACTTTTTTTTCCTCAAAAAGACTATTTGCAATGGGATAATTCAGCTAATAACTTGGACTCCTTAGATAGAGATAATATAAGTTGAATATAACCATTTACCTTTAGCTGAGATATTTGTCATGCACGTTAAAAAAATCTATGAGTTATTTATGATTAGGATGTGTCAAAATTTACTTTTATCAACACAAATCAATATTACTACTTTGCTTCCAGGGCTCTTTGTTTCTTGTCTGGCAGATTTTCTGGATATGTGTGTACACATAGCCATCATCTCAGATCGTTTCTATGCACATTTCCATTTGTACTGACGATTAGATGGTAGAGAGGGAGCGAAGAGCAGTGAAAATCAGCATCATTGTCCCCCAGCTCCTGGAGTAGACTTTGGCCCATTTTTCTTGGCTTCGTGTATAATGGTAAAGCTCTGCCTCTGTATTGATCTGCAAGCCTTGTTATGCTGCCCTAATGCACTGTTTTCACTTTGGGAAAATGCTAAATGAGATTAGTACCTAACTTTAGAAGGCCATAAAGCACAAGCCATGGCACCTTCCATTCAGGAAAAGAATTTCAAAGACATTTCCAATATGCATTATGGTAAAACCCTCTGTATAATCATAGACCTAGCAATTGACTTTTATTGACTGCTTTCATTCTTGCTGATGGAAGAAGCCATTATTAGGTAAAAATAACAAAAGGAAGAATTTCAAGCTGCCTAAGAAGGAAAATTAAATCTCAGTTGCAAAGGAGATTTGAACAACTTAATTTCATTGTATGTAGGAAGATTCAATAAAGAAATGGAGCATGGCAACATAAAGAGCAAGATGAAGTGTAGATTTGGAGGACTCTAAGTCATAATAAGGAAAATATAACAATTATCCAAAAACAAGTTCAGCATAGAAGAGCCGGTAAGATATAGTCAAGCTTAAAATACATACACATATCAAAATCAAGAAAAAAAAATCCAGTCTGTGACTACTTGAAATCATTGAGGACTTTTAATGGAATCCAGTCCATGTACACTCATTTTCTTTCTTTAGCTTTTCCTCTTCCTTCATTTATTTCTGCATTAGCAGCCTGCCTACAGAGTAACACTCCCCCCACTCCACCGCAATGCTTATGGTCAGGGGTTAATGACAGTACACAAAAAGCAGGCCTGGAGCCCCAAAGATAGGGTCCAAGATCAAAATCAAAAGGAAGCGCTCTTTGTAGGTATTCTGTAGCCAAGTAAAACATTCTTATTTTGCTAATGTTATTAATGCAAGTATTCACTTCAAAGGCATCTAAGATATTATTCCTAAAGATTTTTCTCAGAACTACTCTGCAAACTTTGGAAAAAGAAAAGAATCAAGATAGACAGAAGTTGTGACTCTAATTCTCCAGTGCTTTAAAACACCCGATGATGGACAGAAATTATTGTTATCACTTCTGATTACTTCCTTAGCAAAGTCTGGATTAACTGGTCAAAAGAACATGGAAACATTTTTTTTTGTAGAATGGAAGCTGATTTGAGCAGTCTTTAGAAGAACTCTCCTTTTCAGACTCTTCACTGCAGTGGCTTGGTTATCTGTTTTATAGCTAGCTGTTGGGTTCCCTGCTGCCACTCTGACTTTCATGTTTTACAATCATCTTTGACGTGTGTCCGGAGCTTTCAAATTTGACGCAACTACTTAGCATCTTTTTAGTTTTGCTAATATAAAGAACATGAATAATAAGGTAACTTCAGAGAAGGAAAATGAGGGAGCTTGATCTTTCTCAGAAGATCTCCATTCAGAAGGCAAAAGAAGTCAGTTAATGACAACCAGAAGCCACATCCCTAAAGCTCTCAGAGTGCAAACCATTATTTATCAATGCAAGTAATGCAGCAAAAGATTGCTTCCTGTATCTGGACCAGTCAGTACTCCGTGAGAATTCTACAGATCTGATGATGAAAGGAGAAAGAGAAGGAGCAAGGGAGAAAGAATCAATGAGAATGCCGAAAATTAAAGGAAAATTCTGCAAAAATCAAAAAACAAAAAAAAGTCCAATAAGAATCCTGCATGAAGTCAGGTGGTCTTATAAAACCCTATCTAACAAAGTAAAAACAGGATCAACTCTTCAATTCTTAAATTTCAAAAGCATTTATTTTATTTTGTACTAAATTGTACATCTGCTGTTAAATCTAGTAGCTGGCATTTCTGTCTTTCTTTCAAAACCCCAAAGGAAAGCTATTAAACACACTGCCAATATTTAAAATGTTTTAATAGTTCACCTATTTCTTATCATTTATAAGGTGATTACAGAACTCAAAGGAAGAAAATATCTAAAGTATATGAACTGTCTTCTAATAATATTTTTTCCATTTTTATTTTACCTGAGAGTATAATAGTATGGTAATGTTAGCAAGATAAAATGTAAACAAGATCTGCAAAACAACTTAATTTCAAGGTTTCCTGACATTCTTAACAACTGCTAACTATTTCATTAATGATGTTTCTAGCTTAGCTGTAATCAACTTTCCATAATCATACTTCAGAGGCCAAATATCTCCAAAAGGTGCCTGCTTTCTTTTGCATTTGTATACCACACACATTTCATGATGTAATTCC